GGTATTACACCGGGCGATCCGGCCCACTTGTGCTAAGATGTTAAAGCAAAATGAAACTATTGGTTCACTTTGTTTTTTAATTGTGTAGCTAAACAGTTGAAGGCAGCCAATCAATCGCAGAACAGTCGTGCGATAATTTGTTCAAAGGTGTGCGCCCGCTTTTAATAAGGTTACAGTTAAATACGATAGATTAGTTTTCTATTGTTAAATAATATTTAAAAGATATGATTCGTAGTAATTACCTTTAATCGAAGTGCTGATTATGTTATCTATGATATGATGGAAAACAGTACCGAAGACAGATTTTATTGGTAAAAATTAGTACGTTTTGTTTTGGCCAGACGTCTTCAGGTAATGAAGTGTTTTTGTATATTTTTAATTTATTTACATTTATTTACTATTAGCTTCCGCCCTCGACTCCGTCCGCGTGGAATTAAAAAAACAAAACGAAGTAGCCTATGTGTAATTCCAGACTACCCTCTCAATATTTAGTTATTTCTAAATAACCTCAAAATTGTCAATATTGTTTAGAATGCTTAGAAATTACATGTCAATATTTTTTACTTATTTAAGAAATGTACTTGTATCGGTTATTACAAGAATTATTTAAAGTAGTTAAATTATATTTTATTAGTTTTAATTAATTTACTAGTTGTCTTTTACTTATATCATTATTTGAACACTTTTTTAATTACTGAAAATAATTACATTTATTGAATAGTCTATTTACTTTTTAATAATTATAATTATTTGTATTATCTATAAATGTTTGTTTTTTATTAGCACGTGTTTTTTCTATAACAGTGTAAATGCTACGATTTTAGTGTAGAAATTATAGTAAGAATAGAAACAGCTCTCTTATTTTTTGTTCAATTTTTAAAAACAAAGATGTTTGTAAAAACAAACATGTTTCAGCAGTGGAAACTTGCAAAGTGCAACAATAATTCCAGTAAAGATATGCGTCTCTTACCGTGTATAAAGTCTTATGACGAAGGAGTCGATCACTCAAAGCAGATAGACAGAGAGATTAAAGAATGGATCAAGACATATAATGAGGTGAGATTATTTTAATATTTTCTTTTAGTTAAAAAAATACAATAATTTCTCTTAATCTGTTCCATAATGGAATTATTATAAAATCTACACTTTAAGTCCCTTACTTATTTTGTTATGCTTATAGCATTTTGAAATTTAAATAAAAATCTAACAGGAGCTTTCGCCTGCAACTCCGTCCGCGTGGTATTAAAAAAATGTAAGTAGCCTATGTGTTCTTCCAGACTATCCTCTAGGTCTATGCCAAATTTTATCGAGATCTGTTTAGCTATTTAGGCTACAAACTCTAACAAACATCCATCTAAACTTTTTTGAATATTAGTACGAAGTAACATAGGCAAGGGACAAGGGCAACTTGCCCTTATCCCTTACGGAGGATCGTCACAGTATGTGCTGCTCTTCCATACATCTCTATCAGCCGTCATATCTGAATCCACTCCTTTCTTAAGCATATCTTTCACACAATCCATCCATACTTTCTTCGGTCTTCCTCTTCATTTGTAACCATCCATATTCATTCTTAACATTTTCTGGTTTATGTCACCATCGTCTCGTCGCATAACATGTCCGTACCACGCTAACCTTTTACTTAACGTACTTAACAATTTATAATTACTGATACTAAAAGCGGAGCCATTCGTTTGTAGTAAGTGCTTTATTAATTCATAAGGATCAAACCGTAAGTGATACTTGATTTATATCGTAACACTAGCTGTTCCAGTGCGATTTCATCCGCATAAAATTAAGAAAATTTTATTTATTGTTTACATGTGAGAAATTATCAATTGCAAATGTCAAAATTATATGACATGATGACAATCCTTGACAACCTTGTTTCCTTGATGTTGGCAGCAACTAATGGTCTTTTTCCCACATTAGGGTTTTTATCCAAAACATTTACCCCCTAAGTTTAAAGGCTTGAAAATATATAGCCTAAAGCGTGACGTAAGTTTTTTGACGTGACGTGGCTTTTTATTAAAAAAGTTTTATTCAAAAATAAGCAACACAGAAGTGTTTGTTTACGCTTTATTATATTAGCATAGATCTAACAGTATTAGGATAGGTTTAAAAGTGAATTATCTTTGTAATATGGAAGGAAATACCAAAGATTATATTCTAGAATAGACATTAGGTAAATGAGAATAAACATTGCGTTTCGAATCTTAATATACTTTACTTTAGTCCCAACTTTAGTCCCTTTTCTTTCCCACCCTTTTTCTTATAAGAAAAGAAGAAGGGAATGTGGTGTGACAGTGTAGGAGACGCATAGGAAAGGGAAAGATACTCTTATGTGCATCTCCTCATAAAGGTAGGTAACACATTCTCTATCGAAGGGCGGCGGTCGCTTCTCCAGTTTGGCGGATTCATGTGGCCGATTGCTTGTTTGCTACCGTATGATATAAAAAAACTTAACATTCATTACTTAATTTTTTTTTATTAGTAACGGTCATATTCTTTACTGAAACCAATATCTAAAATCAACATCACCTCCATCGTAATACTATATGAAAACTTCCTAGAATTAAGTAGGAATTTGAAGAATTCGGCTCTTATAGATTTGTTAGTTTGATTTAAATTTTATCACAGTCGGCATCGTTGTTTTAAGACTGATATCAAGCGGTTCGCCGATGGAATGATAATCACAACGATCTGATAGCAAATGCCGCTTTGTGGTAATGATGCGTCATGCATCGTGATTGGCGCTTGTTACAATCTAACACTTCCTATACTTTATCTATGTGGTTTTTAAAGGTTTCCACTATAAGAGCCTTTAACTCATGCACTGATTAATCTAGCTTTGATTCCTATGACCTTATATGTAGATGCGCAATTTTTCTGAACAAGGAATCTTTTTTTACTAATAAAAATCATGATTGTTCCTGAAATTCCTGAAAACCTGGTAGATTACCTGGAATACGTAGCGAAATTGACGGTACAGATGTGACAGGTGAATGAATTCTTAACACCTTTTTAAATAACTCGATGGCTGTTCAGATTCCTCTAAGTAGAAAACACAACAATACGATAACACTTCGTCATCATTACCAGCTCACTACATGTCCCCACCGAGGGGCTCGGAGTCTACCCTAATAAGGGGTGACTAGACCATAGTCAAACCACGCTGGCCAAGTGTGGGTTGGTTGACTTCACACATATCTTTGAATTTCTTCGCCGACATGTGC